CTATTTCGATTTAATTTCAACTTTTGGACGTCCGGTGCCAGAGCTGTGCATGATCGCTAACACTGTACTTGATTGGGTTTTTAATGAACATGGGTTTCGTTTAACCTCTTGGAATCAGCCATTTCTTACCCCTGCTTGCCTTCAAGAATACGCCTGTGCTATAGCAAGACAAGGAAGTCCACTTACCAATTGTTTTGGTTTCATTGACGGCACGGTTCGCCCCATATGTCGCCCTGGAGAAAAACAGCGCGTTGTATACAACGGGCACAAGCGTGTTCATGCGCTAAAAATTTCAATCCGTAGTAGTGCCAAATGGTTTGATAGCAAATCTTTATGGTCAAGGGGGGACGTCCTATGTCTCTATGGAGACCCAGCTTACCCTCTTCGTCCTCATTTAATGGCCCCTTACCGAATAGGGGAGGTTCCAGTATTTACAGCCGATATGGAAGCATTTAACTCAGCAATGAGTTCTGCTAGAGCTTCGGTGGAATGGCTATTTGGCGATATCTCCAACTCGTTCAAGTTCTTAGATTTCAAGAAAAACTTAAAGTTAGGATTAAGCGCAGTTGGAAAGCAATATATATAGTGTCCGCACTGTTTAGAAATATTCTCACCTGCCTTTATGATAACACAACATCAACACATTTTCAACTTGATCCACCAACTGTTCAAGACTATTTGGCCTAATGGCATCACAGTATATCAAGTAGAGATGTCTGAGCCCGATGCCAAGTTACAAAATATATTAGGTTGTTCTAGCAGCTAATCCAGGATTTCAGGTTTTATTTTTTCATTCAAGATTACTGCTAGTGTCTGGTGAGTCTTCTGTCCGTGAAAATGATGTATTTTATGTATTTTTAGGGAATTTTCTGATAACTAATGGAAAAATGCAACAGTTTGTTAAAGGTTCTGTGAAACAAACAACAACGTATTAGAGTCTCCAAAAAATGCAAAATGCCCCTTTAAATTGAATGTATGGGATGGCAAAACAGCCAAGCTCTCAAACAACAAAACTCTTAAATGTTATCACTTTGTAAGTTTCTGTACTAGAGCAAGAACAAGGTTTTGTGTGTTCATTTGACTTTGCATCATTTGCTTCATCTGCTCTTGTTGCACTTTGAATTGTTCTTTTTTTGCTGCTCAGCCTGAAGTTGCAGCTGCTGTCTTTGAAATTCCAGCTCTTCTTTTCTGAGGTCTGTTTCCTTAGCTGTTTTCTCTGCTAAATACTGGAAAGGATCAGAACTAGCTCTTCTTTTCTTCCTCTTCTCTTTACAGTCTTCTTCTCTGTGGCACTTTCGTCCCCAGAATCAGAGGCTTCACCACTTGCTCCAGCCTTTGCCCACGTGGTCATGGCTTTATCTCTACATGCAAGTGCATCCTTCCTCTTCTGGTCATCTTTTTTTTGCTGTTTGCATTTCCTACGCGAAGTGTTGTTGACTCCATGGCCGCAACTATTTCCTCAAGCAATGTTTCGTTTTCTGTTGGTGGATCAGGGTTGATCCCACTTGCTTTTTTTCTTCTTTGTTTTTCTTGTTCTTGTAGTCTTTTAACAGCTTGTTAAATTGTTCCCTCACACTTCGCTGATCCCGAGGCATGTCTCTAAAAAGACTGAAGCAGTTTAGTTTTTCGGCTACTTCTGTCCATTTTTGGCCAGCTTCCTTGCTGCCCACTTTGTACAGAAATGGCTCCGAGGAGTATAATTCCCGAAGGAGCAGAGTATTTTTTGCTTCATTCCAACGAAACGGCCCACTAAAAAGGAACACATTTTATAAAATTAATACGTAGCATCAAAGTATTTTCTTAGTACAAAATTGCATCCTGCCAATCACGTTTTATCACCTGTTGATCAATAACACCATAAAAAGCTGTCCTTAGGCTGCTGTCTCCAGTCAGTAAATTATTTTATTTGGGAAACAAGGTTAAATTAAAAAAAACATTAATTTTAAATCCAAAGTAAACATAAGACTCCCAATTTGGTCATTGTATCAGATTTTGATTCGCCATAGTTCTCCATTAGCTTCCCTTCCCAAGCTTCAACTCTCCTTCTGCATATCAATTTTAGGACACAAAACCAGTATATAAATTAATGTATGAGCATTTGAAAAACGATTTATACAAATGCCATTTTCAGACATGTGAGCTTACTTTGTTCGAACAGAGACGGCTGACTCGCCACTGGAGCACACACTAAAGAGACAAACAAATACCCAGTCAGTGTCATGATTGACAATGAAGTTTCCGTTTATATAAAACAGGGTTCGTACTCTTTTGAGCCCTTCAAATTTCATGACTTTTCATTACTTTTTCCATGACCTTTTCCAGTCTTCCATGACTTTGGTTATAGCTGTCACTTAAGAAAATTTTCAAAACTATCCTTGTTTTTATTTAGGGTATTTACCTTACTCAGTGCAACAGATAACACTTTAGTGTCCACCATATGTGCCATTTCTAAAAGCCGTTTAATTACGTCTTTTTGTCCTTATTTTGGACTGTGCACGAACTAGTCTAGCAAACATAACTTCAATTTTCCATGACTTTCAATGACCGACAATTAAATTCCATGACTTTCAAGGCCTGGAAAATGAATTCTTAAATTTCATGACTTTCCAGGTTTTCCATGACCTGTACGAACCCTGTAAAAGCTTTTACAATCTGTTTTGATTTGGAAAAAGTACATACTTCCAACAAAGTTCGCAGTTCACCTTTGAAAAGTAGAAAAAGAAAGTGAATTACCGGCTTTCATCTCCTGTTGACATCCTAATCTGCTTGTAAACACAACAGAATTCAAAGGGCGTCAGTAAGCAGAACCAGAAACAGAAAAAAATGCGATTTTTACTTCTTTTTCGCTCAAGTTTAATTGCCTAAAGACTGTTCAACATAAAAGTAGCGTTTAGAAAACAAAACTGGTCAAAAATCGGCAAAAAAATACTTACGTAGTCCTCACTACGCGAATCTCCTCGACTACTCCCCGTAGCCTGCAACCACACGACGGACTGCGAAACCCACGTGCTATCGAGCATGCGCAGTAAATCTCGAACCAGGTCCTCGCCGTGTATTACCGTAGTCCGTAGTCCGTAGTCCGTAGTGACCGTATCTTAAATTAATAACAAGACATGCAACTGCCGACAAAAGAACGCATGCCCGCTCGACGGAAACTGCCTGCAACCATCAGTAATTTACCAAGCCACCGTCACACGCAAAGACAACAACACGACAGAAACGTACATCGGACTCACGGAGAACGACTTCAAAACAAGATACAGAAACCACACCGCATCATTCCGCCACGCTAAACACAGAAACTCCACCGAACTCAGCAAGCACATCTGGACCCTCAAAGACAACAACATCGAGCACTTTATTTCCTGGCGCATTCTCTCGTCACACTCGCCGTACAACAGCTCAAGTAATCTTTGCCTCAAAGTAATCTTTGCCTCAAAGAAAAATTCCAAATCATCTGCCTACCCGAACTATCAATGTAAATGCGTGACTTTCAAACTTGCGTGACTTTCTAATTTGGTGTAAGTTATGGCAAATAATGAATGTAAATTCATCTTGGTTGTACAGGTTATATCCAGTGATCCTTAAACGAAATAAAAAGTTATTTTTCTTAATTAAAAAAAGTGTTCTTTCTCCTAAGTAGGTGCACGATATGTCATTCCATTAATGCTAGAGTAGGGTTTTTGTTCGAAATACCAAAATCAACTTCATGAGTTAGGATAATAAAACAAATAACAACTTGAAGGCAATAAGCAAATGTCGTTGTGTCTGCTTGTTGTCAATTTGGGCTGGAAACACGTTTTTGATTTTTTGCAAAAATTAGCTTATTTCACGGCCAAAAACGCTGCAAACAAGCTTAAACGTGATGTTTTCAGTCAAATAGCGATAGAATCTGTGCAAAAACACTGAAATCCAGCTAAGACACGAAGTTTTCAGTGATATATGGGCAACAAAATTCTTAGAACCGGAAAAAAAAAACTTTTGGGCTGATTTACCCATTTTTCGCCAAGATAACTGCCAAACCGCTACAAACTAGCTGAAACCATATGTTTTTCACAAGATCACAATGAAATCTGTCTAAAAACACTAAAATCCGGCAGAAACGCACGATCTTTTGGCCAAATTTTACGCTATAGTTGACAAAAACGCTCAATTCGGGTGAAAAGGACGTTTTTGTTTTTTGCAAAAATGAGCTTATTTCATTATCAAAAACGCTGCAAACAAGCTAAAACACAATGGGCCGGTTATTTAAACCAAGTCTAAGTTAAACCGTGTTTAGAACCGAGCCGCGGTTTAGACGTTGTCTTGATAAACAACGGTTAAACCATGTTTAAAGAATCTGTGGGAAAACACTGAAACCTAGCTTAAACCCAGTGTACATTGGTGAAATGGGTAAAATAAGCGCATTTTTGTTGTGGTTTTTGCATTTTTTACGCGTTTTTTTTGCCCAAATTTCACTGAGAACACTGCTTTTGAGCTGGATTTCAGTGTTTTTGCATGGATTGTATCGCTGTTTTGCTGAAAACATTGGGCCGGTTACTTAAACGAAGTTTAGACAGCGTTTATTAAAGTCGTCGTCTAACCCATGTTTAAACCATGAATACCGATTATTTAAACGTTTTTCTTCCATAACTGTGTGTTAGACTTTGTCTAAACACCGACTAAGGAACAACAGTAATTTAGACCTGCTCACAGGTAGATTTAAGCGTTGTTAAACGGGTTTTTCGTGGTCAGCCATTTTGAAATGGACGGACTACAGCGCTACAGACAGTTAAAAGACTACGCCAATCGACGTAACATACATGTTAGACACATTCGGCACCTTAGGGACAGATTTAACCCTTTAGAAGAATACGTTGACCAAGAATTTCGATTGCGTTTTCGCCTTAGCCGGAAAGGACTTGCTCATTGACCTCGTACGAATTTTGGATAACGATCTTCAACATCAAACAAGGAGAGGTCTGCCCCTTACACCAATGCAGCAAGTTCTAATTGCTTTCAGATTTTATGCAACAGGAGCATTCGAGCGGGTTATTGGTGATTTATTTGGTTTTTCATCCTCGGGAGAATCTGTTCTTTGACGTTTGCACCTGTCGATGTAAAGTCAACTGACGATTAGTAATTATGTATAATATAATAAATTATCATGCAATAAACGACTTTCTGAGGCTTTCAAAATCTACTATACTTCTGTCTTGTGAGTTTTGCTCCTTTCCCGCTAATAACTTCAACATCAGCATGTACACTTGGCCCCGCTTCGCGTATGGTAGAGTCCCTCGTCTTTTCCCCGTCTTGAAGTAGGTTCCTCTCCTGCGTCATCATCAAATGGTTGCTCAAGCGGATTCAAGGAAGCTGGTATAACATCGGCAACTGATTTACTCACTTCACTTGGGGAGGCAGGAGCTTTTCCTCAGCCAGTTTTTCTTGTTTCACGACGTTGCAAATCGTGTTCTTTCTTGGATTGGAGTTTCATCCGCGCCTCCAGCATCCTTGGATCTGATTCATGTCCTGTTTGATTCCATTTGGATTTCGGGAGTTGAATTTTTGCAAAATTTCTTCCCAAGAATTTGCTTTCTTTCTCAACGTTTTATCATCGTAGCCTTAACTTTCCATTTCTGGGAATTCTCTTCCCAATTCTGCCACCAAAAGCTTTTCTTCTTCACTAAAATTGAGCGTTCGACCGGATTTAGAGGCCATAATGAGTCACAATGTAACCTCCAATATGGATATGTGCATACAAATAACACCACAGACAATACATTTCCTCGTCAGACATTGTTTAGCCATTGACTAGAAAAAACACGGTTCAAGGGCGTTTTAATAATGTATTTTAAACATGGTTTAACCGCTGTTTATCGAGACAACGTCTAAACCGCGGCTCGGCCCTAAACACGGTTTAAAGGGGCATAACGGTTGGATTTTGAAGAAAAATTGAAAATTTCACCCTTTTTTTAATTTCTTCTTAATGATGCTTGAATCCATCTAGTTTCAGATAATATATGTTTTTTTAACTTTTTTAATTATGCGTCGCTAAAAAACAGCCCCTTTGAAGGGCAGTACGTTGTTTTTTTTGTTACCATGACAACCACAGCTAATCCAATCGTTTTGGCACGTTTCATTTCTCCAAAATGGTACAAAAACTCATCCCACTCGATCCTGAGACCCTTACGTCCAGCCCCACATTCTTGAAGTTAAAATTTCCACCAATATGAAGCCCGGTTACAAAGCACTCACTCTCCACAGATAGAGCGTGAGCGTCTATCTTGTTTACTTGTCTTCTTATCCGTAAATCGTGCCAAAAGTTGGGAAAAAAAACAGTCTGTCTTAAGGAATTTTGCGCTAAAGAGAAAGAAAGGTTTTAAAGGAACCCAGAAACAAGAGGTAGCACAGAAGAGAAGGAAAGAAACGCGAGCTGTAGAAGTCACCTTCGTTAGTAAAGATGACGGTTGTCAGCGAGCAAATTCTGCCCCTCGCAGAATCTGCTTCCAAACGGAAAATACAGCGAAACGACGATGAAAGCTCCTCAAATGAAGGTATTGAAGATTGTTTCAATGGACAATCTTCTTAAATTTGTGAAGAGAATTCACGCACAAACTCCACTTAATTTAGGTAAGAGTTACGTGAGTTAAATTTTAAGGCCTTTGAACTAAAATATAGCAGCTGTTTTTCTGGATCAATGCTGGACCAAAATTACTACAGTTATATCCCTTTATTAATAAAAGCGTTAATTGTCTTTATGGATCTACTAGGCCAAATACAAATATTGGAGAGTTCCTGTTACCGGTTTGGACTTGATAGCTCACTTTATGCCAAGTGAAGTGGTTGCGGCACGTCTTAGTTTCTTGCAACTGGTAGCCAACCTCAAGATGATGTTAATCCTAGAACTCTTCAAGGAAAAGATATGAACAGAAGAATGGAGTTTGCTGCATTTGAGAGTGGGAATGGAAGAGAAGGAGTTGCCAAATTTTGTGAGGTCTTCAATATGCCAGCCATGAAGAGACCCTTAGTCAAGCCTTCCAAGAGGAAAGAAGCAAACAGCTACAAAAGAACTGTGCAGGCACAGGTAGAAGGAAGCAAGACAAAGAGACAGTGGAAGAATTCAGCAAGCATAGCACAGAGCTCAAGAAAAACACAAACAATATAGACTTGCACGAAGACAAGCTAAGAAGAGAGAAGAAGACCTGTGTGTAACCTGGGAAGGCATAATTTATGAAGCTGGAGGTTTTGACAAAACACATCTCTGCAGAGTGGGTTAAAAGAGAAAGAACCAAAGAACCTAAGCATACCTTCAAGTAGGTGTGCTGTGATGCACAAAAGGCCATTTTATGAAGTCATTAGTCTTACAAGTGACATTTAGATAAAACTGAAGTTTTAAGGTGATTCCCTTGTTTTGCACTGCGCAACCTTTTCTGCGCATAACATTAATTGCGACATCCAAGATGGCAGCCGTTCTTCCCGCTAGCGTGAAAAGAACGGACAAGGGCCGCCTTTGCAGAGCGAAAGCTTTTATTCGTAATAAGAATGCCGCAAATCGGCTGACAGCTTCCTGGTCTGCTCTCAAAACACAAAAAAAAAAAAAAAAATGTGCGTGATCTGGAAGTCTGCAGTGGATTTCCACTTCGCGGCCGTCGAGTTGTAGAATTAAATGTCCTCGCTGAGGCTTTGGACGGGAGCTGTGAAGCCTGTGGGGCAGCTCTACGGCTCTCCAACTGCATAAAAGAAACAGTGTCTGGGCTAGGATCACTACTATACATGTGCTGTTCAAATTCCGAGTGTGGAGAGACAAATATCTGTCGAACAAATAAGACCCACCGTAGCACCGGAAAAACGCGAGGGAGACCAATCTTTGATGTAAACACGAAGCTCGCTGCAGGTTTGCTTACATTTAATGTTGCTAAAAATATTGTTTTCCACAATTAAAGCATCCATTTAACATCTAGCCAATTTTTAATTAGTTGAATCGACATATTTATAGGGATGCTACACGCAGGCATAGGTCCTACCCACGTAAACGAGTTGTTGTCATCTCTCAACGTACCATCACTTGGAGAATCCACGCTGAAGGCTCGCGAGAGAGAAGTAGGGCCCCAAATTGAAAAGTTGGCAAAGGAATCATGTCTGGAAAGTTTAGAAAGCGAAAGAAACCTGTGGAAAGAGGATAGTGAAAAGGAAAATGTGGCGATAGGAGTGTCATTTGACATAATAATAAATAATAATAATAAAATAAAACTTTATTACCGTGTCAATGTATTTAGCTCATAGAGCTAATTGGAGACACCTACTATTACAAAATTAATAAAAAACTATGTACAGTATCATAATAAGTAACAATATAGCCGATAAACTATGCATTAAAATTTAAAAATATTTAGAAATATTAACAATGTTCAGATAACATAAAAATACTTGTACAATGCAGATAATTAAAAAAATCACGTGCTGCAAAGATTGCAGCAGTTGCCACTGTCTTCCACTAGGCTGGCCAGGTCAACTCTACGGATTTTAGTTTTAAAGATGCTAAGGCTTGGTTGTTCACGCATACCATTTTCTAATTTGGACCAGATATATGGTCCTTGATACTAAGTGTGTGTTTACCATAGCGTATAGTATTAAATCGTGGTATTTCAAAGTCACTTTTCCTAAGGTTATAACGAGTACCCTTTCGAGTAAATATCTCAGATATGTAGCTAGGTACTAGATCGTTCTTTACTTTATACATTAGTATTGCTATGTCCTGTAAGCGTCTATTATGAAGCGTAGGTAACTTAGCACGCTTAAGAAGTTCCTCATATGTCTCTGTTGTTGTTTTGAAGACCGCACGCAGGGCTCGCTCTTGGATGCGTTCGATTTTTCGCCCATCTAAAGATTTACAAAAGTTCCAGACTAAATGACAGTATGTTAAATGTGGCATTATAGCTGTTATATACAGTATGAGCTTAGCTTGGCATGGTATTAGGTTGCGCAAGCGCATGAGGACTCCTACTTTCTGGCTGGCTTTAGTGCATATTTCGCTAATGTGTTGTGTAAAGTTAAGGTTCTTGTCTATATTTACTCCTAATAGCTTGATTTGTTCAGTTTTCATGATCTCGTCATTGGCGATGGTGAGAACGCTGCCCTTCTTATCTGCATCTATGTTTCTTGGGTTAATCGTAAGAGACTGAAACTTATCTGGATTTGCCAAGAGGAAGTTGTCCCTATACCATAACAGTGCTTGTTGACCCTGAGTCACTAGAGTAGATTCAACTTCTTCATAGGTTTTTCCTGTCACATATAATTGGTGGTCATCAGCATAGAGCGTAAGGTTTGAGTCAGGGATATGAAATGCCATATCATTTTGGAACATGTTCCAGAGGAGAGGGCCAAATGACGATCCCTGAGGACAACCACGTTCCATAATTCTCCATTCACTCGTGTGGCCATTTATTTTTACTCTGTTTAGCCTGCTATCAAAAAATGATCTAATCAGTTCAAGTGAACTGCTATTAAAACCGTAGGCATCCAGCTTTTTTAGAGTGAGTGAGTAGCTTAACGAGTCAAACGCTTTACTCATGCCAGCAGATAATATTGTTACCAGCTCTTTTCTGTCCACTGCAAACCTCCAGTCTTCAATCAACATCAGCAGGGTTGTCTCACAGCTGTGTTGTTTTCTATAAGCTGTCATCCTGATGGCAAAAAAGGGGAAAAGCCCACAACAGCCTGACAGGTACACTGCAAATTCTACATCTGAAAGAATTGAAAAGGGTGCATTCGGATATGCATTTTCATAGAAAGCTGTTATTTTTTTCTGTGGATTGTTCTTTAGCTAACTGACAATTTTGGTGTTGGCCAATAGTCAAAGTTAATTAAATAAAATATATCCTTATTTTCACCATTAGGTGTTGGCTTCATGGTTGGCCTAAAAACTGGCAAGGTGATTTGCTATGGTTCAAGGTCAAAAGGTAATGTATATACATATATTTTGACTACTAGTACCTTGTTGTAAACAACAAGAGCAATTTTT